CCTTGGGCTATGAAATTGGGAGGAAAAACAGTTATACCTAGGAGTTTCTCTGGCCAAGTGGACCCTTCTCTTTGCTTGTAAAAGTATTGCCCGGTTGTTAACCTTTGCCAGGGGTTTTTTACCCCCCCCCCCCCCCCGCTTTTTCTCTCTCTCTGTATTCATATCCTTATACTTCTTTGCTCCCATTGGTTGAATGAAGGAGAAAGTTTCGTGACTTTTTCTACATTTTTGGAGGGGGAGGCAGACGGATTTTCCATGTCAGCACAGCCAGTGTGTGTGTAAGTGTGTGTGAGAGACACAGAGAGGGGGGAGAGGGAGAGAGAGTGTGTATCACGACTCTACAATCCCAGAGGGGCGACCAGGTGGCCAAATTTCAGAGACAGAGGGAAGGTCGTGAGAGGAAGCAAGGCTGGGGTGTGTTTATCTCTCAGGAACACAATACAGTTCACAAAAACTTCTAAGCAAGCTATTCCTCCTAACCCTAATAAATCTTAAAAATGAGACACCGTAACTTCCTCCAAGGCCTGCCCTAAGCCAGAAGAGCCAATTTTCTCACCAAGTCAAATGCCTTCTAACCCAGGTTTATTACTCCTGAGAGCCAAGGCTGCTTACTCAGGATGCTGAAAGAAGAACATCCAAAGAGTTACACACCCATAAAGCTGTTGCACCACAATTCTCAACACAGCTCTGCAAGGTGCTAAGTTGGCCAAGGCTATAGCTGTACCAACATGCTGATATATGGTAAGAGAGGATACGTGAGCTTAACAAATACCAGCAAGGAGAAGGGGGTTGGATCAGAATCATGGCATGGGAGGGAAGATGATCCAGCTGTCCCTGTCCTAGACCCAACTGAATCGTGGTACTTCCAATAGGAGAAATTAAGGTGCCACCTAAGGGAGATCTCCAGATATCTACTCACAAAAAAACAAGATATCTTCACCCCCCCTGGACTGGTAGCAAGCCACCTTCCTCACATGAGGGTGACTTGTATTGAGCAACAGGAGTGGGGTGGGGAGTAGGACAAGCATTTAAAAAACAAAACAGAGTCTACTTGCATTGTGGCATTGTGCTGTGTAATTAAAACTGGATAGCTTGATTTTGGCCATGTTGACCCCCCCCCCCACACAGTCTATCCAGTGCCCTTTTCTCTATGGGAAGCAAAGAGTAAGAATGGCAGAGTTTCCCAACCCATAGAGAAGCCAGCCCCCTTGTACTTAAACAGCCCTAAACCACAAGCCCACAGATTGGGTAATGGCTTGAGATTGGGCAAGGAACAGCATGAGAACTCCCCACCCAACAAGCCTGTTGCTACCCCTAACTGAGCCAGAAACCAGCCCCACATCTGAGTCTCAATTCACCTTTCCCAACCTGGTCCTCTCTAAATTGGCTGGACCACAATCCCCAATCACCCCCTGCCAGCCTGAGCCAGGAGAGGCGAGGAAGATAGAAGGTGTAGTCCGACGCATCTGGGCAAGGCTGTTTCAAGTTCAAGGGTGCACAACGTTGGCCCTGGCATGATGGGTGGGAGGCGAGATCCCCCAAACTAGGCAGGATGAAGTTGTGGTTGGCATCAGACCCAAAGTAAATCTGATTTGATTTAACTGTAATTCCAACCTAAGTATTTAAAGGCAGTATCTGTCAAACTGAAATTTGCAATTCAGGGGCAATTTTTGGATGGGCTGGGGGCCACCTATGGCCCTGGGGCTTCACGTTGTGCACCCCTGTCCTGTATGAAACGTGAAGTCCTGCCTCCTTACCTCCAGACCACTATCCACTCTCCATGTCTGCCACATGGACAAGCCCCTTCCCCAGCTTCCTACTTTCCCCCAGGGATCTTTCAGAGAGAACTCTTACGGTTAGGGCTCACGGCTCCGATTCAGTTTGAGGGAGCTCCATTCTTTGCCCCTTCCAGGGAATCTCAGGAGAGAGGTGGGTGGGTACATCAGCCTCTGAAAGTACGATGTGAGATTGTGCAACGGCCCCAGCGTTGAGACAAGGAGTGCACAACAGCAACCGGAAACCACAGGGCCCCCACGCCTTACCACAAAGCACAAACCAGGTGCAATGGAGCTCAGAGAAGTAGTAGAAAAGGAGGAGGAGGAGGAGGAGGAGGAGGAGGAAGAGGGCCCAGAATGAAAAAACCTGTTCCTTTGCCTGAGTTGGAAAGCTGGACTTTCTTCTGCTCAGAGCTAGTATCTAGGAACAAGCAGGAGTGGCCTATCCATCAAGCTGAAAGAAGCAGTTGCCCAGGGCACCAAGTTAAGTTGGGCACCACTTTTTTAGCGGAAAAAGAAACAAATGAAAACCAAATTAAAAATTTTTTTTAAAAGACAATGTTATAAGCAGTCTCTCTTTTATTTGATCTCTGAAACATTGGGTGGACAGGCAGAAAAACTAACTATCTCTATTTCCAAAAACGTGGCTAAAAGCATTATATACAAAATGGGACAAAATGATTCCCATTTCCCATCCCAAAATGATCCCCCAGTTACCAATCCATCCAGTGGGTCTGCCCTTGGGGTTTAGGGCAGGCATTGGTGGCATGGTTCACGTACGGTGCCTGTTGCTGTTAGCTAGGAACAAACCTTGCAGCCAGAAACTATGATTCGCATTACGTACCTTCCCTGGATGTACCCTCTAGGGCAGGCATGCCGAACCCTGCCCAATACTGTGCATGAGAGGGCCTCAGAGATTTACCAGATTTGGAAATAAACCTAGCATTGCATTCAGCAGCATTATTGAATTAACCCATTTTCTGGGTTTGTGAAATACACCGAACCATAAACTAGCGAAACAGGTTGAATTCACACAACACTCTAAGCCACAGGCAGAAGAACCTAGCCAAGATGAACTCAACTGAGTTTCCCACGTTGTGTGTGGATGGAACCCCTAGACTCATCCATTGAGATGACTATGAACACACCCAGTAATGCCATTGCCACATCACAAAGCATTAAAACCTGTAATATCTATCATAACATGCAATCTTAAAAAACATTAAAGCCGTTAAAATAAAGTTTTAAAAGCACACTTGCAAACAACTAAAAGGGAGCTCTAATGTGAGTCTGTTTCTACAGTGCTTAACCTGATAGAGATTAACTCATTTGTTCATGAGTTAACAAATAAATAAAATACATGGAACTAACTCGATGGCCAGGATGCAAGCTGCATGCTAAGTCAGGAAAAAAAAAAAAACCTGTCTAAAAATCCAAGTGAAAATTAGCCAAGCTTACAATATTGTGTGAATGCAACCAGTAGGTTTGTTACAGACCCAGTTAAGTGTGTTGTGCAGACACAGCCAGGTGAGTGTATTTTATAGCAGGGGGTAGCAGAGTGAGTAAACTTTCAGTAGAGCCCAGCAAACAGGGCTCTGTTAATTGAAGGTATCTGCAAAAGATTCTTCCTGCAGAGATGGAAGATCAGACAGGCGCATAACAACAGAGGTGCATCCTTGGATGGCCAACACCTACAATACTTTCAGCGGCAAAAGTTAGAACCAGGGTCTTGCACTGAGGCCAGGAAACAATTAACAACATCTGTGGTATGTTCCCCTTTATCAAACCACTAGAGGGGGAGACAAACATTAACATTTCAGAATTTTGATAGAATGTCCACTGAAGATGGATTGGGAATTTTTAAGGCATGCAAATGCTGGTAGAAAAATAGGGGGTAGTATGTGGCCTGTTGTGAGGAATGTTTGTTGGAAGAAGTGAAAATAGCTGTGTACGAGTGTGCGTCTGCCCACCCTGTTATATGGAAGTGAAAGTTGGGTATGTCAAGAGAAACATAACATTAGGGTAAATGCAACGGGAGTGGGGTATTTAAGAAGCATGTGTGGCAAAACAAGAAGAGAGAAGGTCAAGAATGAATGGGTGCTGAATTCATGTGGATTAAGTACAAAAGAGAATGACCAGTGCTAAATAAATATGTTGAGATGGTTTGGTCATATAGAGAGAATGAAGGAGGATTGAACTGGAAAACAAATGAAGGAAGAGTGGATGAGGTGAGAGGAAGAGAAAGGCCCAAGAAGTCAAGGTTGGATGTTGTTGAGGAAATCCTCAAAAGGAGAGAGGTTGATGAACAAAAAGCAATGTGCATGAAGCTGTAGATGGATATGATGGAAGGAAGGAAGGCAGAAAGATATGAAAGTGGAGGTATAGTGAAGGGTGTTGGCTTAAACCCAGAGGTGTCTGCAGGAGGGCAGGAATTAAGTCACACAGTTGCACCCGACATCTTGACTTCTTTGATCCTCCCCCTGAGGATGCCCCATTTAAACTAGATGTCGCTGTATTTCCTTTTTTTTTTCCTATGTCATGCCTAGAGTTTCTTTGACTTGCTATTTCTTATTCTTTTTCGGTGTTTTGCAGAATATTGTTTATACGGAATAGCGTGAGGGGTATGATGTACGTATATTTGTATATAGAAACTGGTCACGGGACAGGAGAAATACAATTGGTAGTCTTAAATGAAATGGTTCATGTAATTATCGTTTGAGTTCTGCTTCAGTATTATTCTTGCAATGTGTGTGCATTTTGACAACCAGGTTCACACATCACAATAAGCTATAACAATAGGTTGCTGGGGTTTGGAATTGTTTGTTCTGCAGACAAGGCCATGGTGGTTTGTTAAACCATGATTGATGCCTTAACATGCTTAAGTGGTCAGCTAAAGACCAAGTGGTTGCATTTACACTACATAATAAGCTTAAATAATATTAACCTTGGTTCATTTTTTACTCTCCTTGTGCTGTCCAAATTTAATCCAGATGGTTAGTTTATAATTCAACATATTGTGCAAAGCCAATGGATTAATTAAGTAATCAGGTTAAATGTGCTATGTGTAAACACAGCCGGCTTGTTGCACAAGGCCAACCAATAGTGATTTGTTCAATAAAATATGGCCAGAACTTTCTGGTCTAGTGAACTGGAAGGTAAGAACCTGGTAGATGCCTCCTTCTAAATCCATTTGTTATGAAGCCTACTCTGTACTCCAGCATACAAATAACCAATGACCTGACCGAATGCCAGGAAGAGAAGCGTGAGACAGAATAATCAGCTACAGCTAACACTTATCATTTAAAAATTGTGTCTGCTCATGGGATAAGGAGAGAGGATCAGATCAAATCATTCTGATTAGAATGACTCCAGCCCTAAATTCACATCAACGATGTTCAGCAATTTGTTGATTAAATATCAATTAATATCAGTTAACAAAGACACAGAGTGCATATGCGCCTGCATCCAAGAGTTGCTCCCTGATCTCCACCTTCATATCACCGCTGTTGCTTGCATGGCTTCCATTCGTAATGCGCATCCTTGAGTAAAGAATCTGCATCTTATGGATAGAGAAGCTGCCTGGCCAGATGGTTCGGCTTCAGTTGTTCAGGAGCAGTTTAAACCTCTGTGTCTGAAACCTGCTCTTCCAGAAACAAACTTCATTTCTTTTCCTGTTTTGATTTTAAATAAACTCTTTTCTCACCTTCTTTCTAACCCAGGCAAAATTGATTGGAATCTGGCTGACATGGCATAGCTGAAATCATGGAACACTCTATCCATCACCATAACAACAATGATTTTATGATTGGATTAGGTGGGCCCTCATCTGCCCACTGATCCATTGTGTCTCCCAATTTCCCTGCACCGCCCGAAATTATCATATTTTTTTTTAGATTCCTTTAATTAATTAAAAGGAATACATAGGTAAATAAATAGGGTGGTGCCCTACTGCCAAGCAAAGGACCATCCCCTAATATCATTTGTTTACAAGAATGCCACTAGATCCCACTGAAGCCCCAGAGGGATCTTTAGAAAATAAAAATGCTCAGGAATTGCAGACTATTTCTTTGCTGAGAAGTGAGACCAACTTTACAGAAAACAAAACAAAGATAAAACGGCCAGCTATGGCAGGGAGAAAGTTGGCCGTAAGTCAAAAAGCAACTTTGTCCTATTGTCTCCCAATCAGTGAGCGTACAGTGATTGGCTTATGTCCAATGTGGCAGCCATTTTGTGACAGTGCCCACAGCAGGCTCCCAACATTCCAAGAGTGTTTGCTGACCCGACAGGTTAGTCTCCCAAGTGGGCTGGGGTCACAGAATAGCCTCACTACCACCTTTGCATAACAGAGCAGCATAATTCAGTAATACAGCAGAGACAGAATCTAGGATTACAGCTGAATTCACTGAGCATAAACCTGTAAGGTGGGCTAGTAGTTTGACATTCAGGTCTCATTGAGATCTAGAGTTAGTCAATAATCATTAGGCTTGGCTGTTCTCAATCTAGGAGGCCCTACCGTGAGCACTGCACTTTAGCTGGGGAGGATAATGGGGCGCAAACAAGGGGGCTAAGAAGGAAGTTACCTCTGAATATGTACAGTGCCCTTCCGATCCAAGAAGCTAATTTTCAATCCATAAAGAACTCTTGCTTTAAAGATCAAGCACTGGGTCCTCCTGATTTTTGTTGGGAGCACCACTCTTGGTCCTGCTTCTTGTAAAAATAAATCAAGTGACCCTCCAAGCACAACAAAGTCTTCTTTTGCCCTCATCCCTCTCTGTTTTTCACCAGCAGCCTCTCTTGTACTTCCATTTCTGTCTCAAAATCTCTTGACTTACCCATTTGTAATTTGAACAAGAAGAGAAAAAAATGCATATAAACCAACAATGCTATTTAAAAAAAACTTTCAGAGCCTGTAAGCTTGGTCACACCAATAGGAAACCAGCCCCGGCGGTTTGTGTGACTTCACTTCCCAAAATTAGACACACACATACACACACACACACACACCAAGCCTTGTTCATCCGGCCCCCTGCGCAAGATCAGCCCTGCCAATGCAACTCATCTGAATGCCCATGGAGATCTAGGCGGAAAGCAGCAGGTAGAGGCGTGCCATGGATTGCACCATCAAGGTAAGTTCTGGAGATGTTCCTCCATCTTTGTTAGCAGCTGATCCCCTCGCTTTGTCTCTGTCCTCCAGTTTGCACTGAGCTGGTCTCTGGTTCAGTTCCTCTCTGTCTCATACACACCCAGCTCCAGAAACAGGGCCCCCCTCCGCTCTTTCCTTCTGGTACAAAAAAATTTCCTCTTCCTTCCCTTTCGTGGCGGTTGATGTCTCTGAGTTTAAAAAACCCAAACCAAACCACCACCAGACACTTTCAGCTCTGAAGCAGAGAGCCCCTTCCACCGTTAAGTCTGGCCAACCAAGGGAACGCAGATGAGGGAGTTTTGGGGGATCCCAACACTGTGTCACAAGTGGACTCAGGGGCATATGTTTCCCCAAACCATCAAGATGCCAGGGAAGAGATGAAAATGGCATCGCCATGCCAAAACACAGAATTTCGGGGATGGAAGCAAAGTGTTGGGGGACACGTCACCCCCAAACTGGAAATACTCCCCCATTGTAAGAGGTCAGTTCATTTTCTTTTTTGCATTCCTGATGTTATTATCCCTTTTTCGTTTTTACAAAGCTTTTATTCTTTTCAACAGTAGCTTTTTTATTCATTCATTATTTCCAACTTCAGCTTTTGATTTATCCATTCCTTTTAAGCTTTGTTTTCCTGCGCATCACACATTTCTGATCAGGTTGGCCAAGCAGATGCTGACTTATGCAAACATTTGAGGCTTCAAAAATCCCTCAGCTCAAGGACATGCCTCGTTTTAACCAGGCTGTGCCTTGGGGAAAAAAAAAAGAGACTGATCAACTTTGACTGGGAGAAGATTTTCAGGATTGATTGAGAGGAACATTTCTAGTTCATCTCTCCTCCCCAGTCAAAGTTTGACAATATATAGCCACCTCTTCTCTAATGATATGCGATTATCTTTGGTTTTACATTATTATTGGCCGGGAGAGAATCCGTGCTTGGATTTTGGGTGTAGTTTAGTGCTGAGCTGTTCAGATTTTTAAAGATGAGGGAAATGGAGCCTTGCTTAATCATTTGCAAAGAAGAAGCTGTGTTCGTCTGCACAGCAAAACCAACAAATGAGGTCTTTGTTGTCTGAGCTGTTCTTGGAATTAGTTGGCTTCAAGGGGAGGCACAGGCACCTGTTTGCTTCGACTCGAGACTAGCAAAGGACCTGGCCTAACATCATCACCCATCTTCCTTCCCTACGTATGACCTTCCGGATTAGCTGGTGAATACAACTCCATCACTTCCAGGTTAAAGAGACCATTGATGTCCTCTCTTGCCTGAGGGTTCCCCCAAATCTTGAGAATAATCTTGGGTTTGGCATTGACTTCAGGGTTTTCTGCAACACTTGGCGTGTGAAAGGCAAGATTTACATGTTTGTTTTTCTTTCCCTGGTAATTTTGTGGCAGGGATAGATAAGGCTGCCTTAGCAATCTGCTTTCCATCGGACACAGAAATAATTATTCTGTTTCCCCCAAAAAAGCACCGCTCTTTTCTTTTCTTTTCTTTTCTTTTCTTTTCTTTTCTTTTCTTTTCAATTTGCAATCAGGTTAATCAGGAAAAAAACAACCATACCAGATTCTCTGCTCTTATGTTTTCAAAATAATACATTTGATCTGCAAAAGGGATCAGACCAGGGAAAACAGCCTGGTCACCTGCTCACATCTGCAGGTTGAGGGACTGTTAATGGATCCTGCGGGGCTAATGGAGATTCAATGAATGATTGCTTTAAAAATGATCGAGGAAAGAAAATGTCAATATTGCCATTTTGAAGCACTTTCTGGAGCAGGGATACTATTGGGTCAGCACAGAAACATTCCTCTAAGAAAGCAGAAGCAGAGGTTACCAAGTTTTTAAACACTTTTATTGGTCATCCATCCGGTGTGCAATTGTTGAGGTTAGCAAGTGAGAGAACATTTGACTTCGGGGCTGTTCAATGTTGATTCTTCAAAATCAAGCTGATCGGTTTATTCTGTCACTTGCCAAGCCTTGGCTGCGTACTGTGTAGGAGAGGTGTTGTTAAAATAACCCTTTTTTATCATGCTAGGATCCTCCTGTAATAATTGCAAGGATACAAAAAGAGCTGGGGTGGATCTGATCAAAAGTCTTTCTGGTCCTCCATGGATTAAGGAAAGTTTCTGGGAAACTCACACACACACAGCATGAGCCAAAGAGCAATCAAAGGATCTTCGTGTCCCCTAACAGCAGGTTTCATAGGCAAACTACCTCTGATCTCCTCCTGATAACTTTCTCCATGGTTTTGCAGCACCTTCTTGGGAGGTTTTCCAAATTGGGGGCACCGTGTAATGTCAAATTCCATAGTATAACAAAAACACTGAGCAGATAAATCCTTCCTTGCATCTCTTTACAATCTCCCATTCTACTGCAGCGCCCACGTTCCAAATGATTCCAAAATCGGAGATCCACACCTTTTTTGCTAGGTCACATAGGTCCATCTTTAGCATGGCCTTCCTGATCTGTCTCCCACAAGTAAACCAACCCCCCCCCCCAATATATTCATATTGTCTTCCTACAGGAATGGCTTTGTCCCTTAACCACTTCGGCTCATAAGGTTTTCCAGTCCTCTGAGTGGTGCCACCTTAACGCTGTATTTGCCATATTCCAAATATGAACCCCCCAGAAATGTGCAGAATGACCTTCGGATTGTGCCAGCTCTTTTCCAGAATAGAATCTGCCTACCCCCCCTGCCCCACCGACTCCCCAATTCCCATCTTGCCATCATCCCCACATTCACTTTGCCATTTCCATATCAATTGCAGACAGGGACAGGATTTTCACTGATCTCCTTAAGATGGTTTCCCTATTCAATGCAGAACAGCCAGATTGGGAAATAGCTTTGTCCCCCAGGCTATCAGATTCTTGAATGTTTAATAAGTTAATGTCAAATGTGTATAGAATATATATTTTACAGTAATTATGGTATCTTGATTGATTGTACTTCTAGTGTCTGATTGTAATTGCGAGCCAGCTACAACGGAATTTCATTTTATTATGCACTTGGTGTATAGTGTATAGTGGAATGACAACAAAGTTATTATTTGTCTATTCCTTCCTGGACAAATTCCCCCAATCTGATATGATCTAGTGGTTATGGGGTTGAATTATGAGGAAAGGCCCATGTCCAACTCCAACCCCAGCCATGGAAATTCACTGGGTGGTTTTGGGCCAGTCATTCTCTCTTAGCCCAACCTACTCCACAGGGTTGTTGTTATGGGGATAAAATGAACGGCCTTGAGCTCCTACAGAACAGGTGGGATATAAATCTAACAAAGAAATAAAATTTTCTCTTGTGCCTTTATGAGCACGTCCATCTAGTTTTCTTGGTGACAACTTAGGCCTTCTGGCAGGCTGTTTCATCTGCTCAGCCTGACCCACGTCCCTGAGATTTCCTCGTGGTCTCCCATCCCACCTTGATTAGTTTTCCCAGCTGAGCCCACTTTGGCTGGGAGCTGCCCTTAAGCTGGGCAACACCCAAGGCGGCAGTATCTATGAATGAACGTACATAGGGCTTTCCTGCAATGTGTCCCATTTCATATTTGCTCACATGCAGCCCAGCCCACTCCCTCCAGCGTCGAAAGATCCCTTCTCCCAACCTGTCCCACTTCTGCAGATTCGGACGCTGACCCTTTGCCGGATCAGCGCCAAACAATTGCGGAAGCAAAGGAGACTCAGCACCAGTAACCCCCCCGCCCCCCCAGACTCAGGCTTTCAATAGCCAAACAGGAAGCCGTGTCCACATCTCTCCCATCACCTCCTCCCCTCGGCCCTTCATTACAGAAGATGGGAGAGCTATTTAAAGACCCCCCCAAGCTAAGCGGGCAGCTCCGAGCTTCTCCAGCAGCCCTTATCAGCAGCAACAGAGGCTTCCGCCATTGCGGCCTCAGACTTCCTGCCTCGGCTTCCTGTGCTAGCTGTCCCACCAGCATCTGCGAGCTGCAACCCTTGCCCCCCCACCCCGCTGTCCTCCGTCGCTGCCGTGTCAGCCTGCCCGCCTCACGTTTGAACAACACGCGTGGCCTTTTCCTTGCCCTGGTTCAGGTCCAAAGCGTGTTAGGTGAACCCTCCGGGGGTGCGGTTTGCAACTCTCCGTGCAGTTCTGCGGACAAGCACCTCGACACCCGTGCCTTGCCGTGACCAGCCCTCCTTTATCAGAAAGGGCAGCCCTTTATTTCAGAAAGCTGTCCTTTCGATTTCTTTAGTTCTCAAAAACCCACTTTTGTCCTCTCTTTCGGTCCTTTAACTTTTGCCGCACCAATGGTGCCCCTTCAGGCAGGGGCTTTGACATTCATGTGACAGATATGGAAATTGAATCGTCTTTTTTAAATAGACGTACACGTGCAGTTTGATTTTAGGTGTTTTTATTAGAATATGGGTTTTTCTTGGGTCGGCTCTTGGATTTTCCTTCGCAAAGCAAAGTTATAAATATAAGCAATTACATTTTTTTTGTCCTTATGAACCTCTGCCAGGTCTGTCCCTTTTTCAGGTTGGTCTTCTATTTTTCCAAGAAAAGATGGTTGCCGTACTTATAAGCCTCCTGCTGCCTTTCCTGAGTCCAAGCCTCTCTGCCTCCCAGATGGGAGGAAAAGTCCCATGGAAGTCTGGAGAGGAGAACTAAACAGGAAGTTGCAATGGGGGGCTAACTGGTCCTGGGGGGGTTGTACACCGTGTGCCCACTGACCCCAATCTCCAGGACTGGCATCCATCTGGCAAGGCTCTTCTGCGATTTGCATTAAAAATGATCTGTTTCAGCAGCGCTGAGTCTGGCTGCTGTACTAGTTTCCCACAATGCCCCTGACGTAGCATCCTTCTGGGGCATTATGGGAAATTCAGAGTGGCGAGACTCAGCCTGCAGGCGCTCCCTGTAATTCTGCTCACGCGTGTAAGGGGAAGGAGACATGGAATTGGTCCGTTCACCCTCCGAAGTCTGCACAATTTTTCTGGCGCTTCTTTCTTCTGCCATTGCAGTAGCTCTGGCCAACTCTACCTGAAGAAGGAACGGAGGGTTCGTAAAAGGTGGGGGAAAGCCAGCAAAACGGATTTAAATGGTTAATTAAGAATCTTACACTCTGGGTTTTGAAATGGTTGCAGAGGCTCAGCTTTTTGGAAAAGGACTGGAATTTCACCACACCAACAATAAAATAATAATATAATAATATCAAATTGCTTATTCTAAGGGGGCAGGTAAACAGATCCTGGTTGCTAAGCAACCCCAGAGCAGTTTCCTCCCTTCCTAAATCCGGGAACAAGATTCTCCTGCCTTTCAACTCCTTCAGCACAAATCAGCCAATTCCATTTTGTGAGAAGGATGCTAAATGTATTAAATGCACTTTTTGGAGCAGATCCAATTGCCCAAGGCCACCCTATGAAATGCAGATGCCAGCCTCACCCTTTGCAGAAGTCCAAGGCCCAACCAAGTTATTTTAGCACCGGAGGCTGAAAAAACATTCAGCCCGTTTCTTTCTCCTTTCTTGCTGGTCAAA